GCCTGGCACTTAATTAAACCTGGTGATGTTGGGAAATGAGCTGGTATTACTACCGAAGCCGACTTGGTTCCTGTCCTAATCACATTCAAGGACTAAAAGTACGAGCGTCCGTAAAATACTAAGATAATTAAATGATATCGGAAGGAAAAGAGTCTTCAAGGACATTATGGAAGTGGGCATTTTTAAGCAGACAGGAATTAAATTATGTCTGAAAGGTTTTGGACTACACTTTAGGGCAGTGGGACAAAATTAAGGGCCAATCAACAACAAAAATCAACCCAGCTTTTATTCCTCGACATCCCAGTCTAGTTGCCACTCTGGACATCAACAACCTCCAGAAGAAAGTTAAGCAATCAGACTAAAATGATGTTCCAGGCACCTCTGAATCTCTACATATTAGTATCACTATGTGGTAATTAGTTGTATATATTTGTCTCCCATATCAGAATGAGTACTAGACTTAGTTTTGATTTTGTAACCCCAAGGTCCAAACCTACAGTATGAAACACAACATCAGGTGCTTAGCAACTGCAAAAATCAAAGTTCCAGCAATAACATCATAGGCTTTTGCCATTCCTAGACAAAGAGAAGCTCCAATGAGGTAATGGATCCCTGTGAATACATCTCCTCCAACTCCACACCCATCATGTAGCTCAGTTATCTACCCCTTACTGCCAACCTTCTAAAGCAGCCAGTTTGGAAGACTGCACCTAACTTGTCCTCCATTCTCCCATTTCCATGATACAGAGTCAAAAGCCCAACCACACTTTCAGATGATTCACTAATCCATTTCTAATCTCTGAATCCCACAGAACCCCCAGTTCACTGTTGTGGATTCACCTAGTATTTACAGATCTTCCCGGAATCCTGAGCTACATTTACTTTCTTTACAGAGTAATATAGACCACCTTGAAACTGATTTTCTTATATACTTGGATATGAGCTATGCAGTGAGAGGGGGAAAGGTACAGAAATCACCACTTGGGAGCTGTCCAATCATAAGAGTCACATTCCTTAAGTGCTGAATATCAAAAGTTAAAAATGGTTACTGTCCTCCAGGGTCCCTAACCCTTAAGCTTACATCAATCCCCTGGGCTTCAACCAATCCTTTGTGAGGGAGACTCCTTGAGAACCCTTCTCAAATGGTTAAGGTCTTAGCTAATTGAGCTCTAGGGACTTAAACCAAGGAGTCTGTCAAGACGTAAACCATAATCCCACATTTGAGATATGTACTGCAATTTCTTATTTTCTTAACCAGAAAAGCTGGTACCCTACTATAAACACACCACGAATGAACGGGCCCCACAGTGGGCCACTGTGAACTATATGATGTGGCAGGGAGTAAATAACACCAGAGCAGTTGTCAAGCCCAGTCCACCAAAAATTTCATTTGGTGTCAGTTCACAGAGGTGGAAAGTCTTGTGGAGAGGCATCCAGTAAGACTTTCTGCAATGATGGAAATGTTTTATACCTACACCATCCGGCTGGTAGCCATTAGCCACATGTGGGTTACTGAGTACCTGAAAGAGTGCCCGTGCAATCATTGAATTGCCAGGATCAGCTTGAATAGCCACATAGGCTAAGGCACAGCAGAGCACCTGCAGGAAAAGTAGTTTCTTGTGGCAAAAGCTTTTGAGAATGACTCAAGACTTGAAAAAACAAACATTTATCACACATTTATTAATGACTACCAAAAAATTTCTTCCTAGGTACCCAGGTCATTTAAGACCACTCACCTTTATAATAAAAATATACCAACAATACATTTCTTACCAAATAAGACACTATTAGAATTCTCTCAAATGTGCCTGATCTTTAGGACTGTCTATCCTAATTCATGGGAACAACAACAGATTTTGATAGGGCTGCACTGGATCTAGAGATGAATTTTAGGGAATATTGGTATCTTTACAATATTGAAACTTCTGATAGATAAGCAAGATACATTCTTCTATTTACCTGAGTCATTCTTTTTTTTTTTTTCAGTAATGTTTCAGTTTTCCTCTAGGTCTTATACATTTTTGTCTTTAGGTTTACATATATAATTTTATATATAATTACATATGGTTTATATGTAATTATTTAATGGTTATCTTAATTCTGCTGAGTTTTCTATCCATGGAATCCTGTTGGCAGAAAATAATGACTATTCAATTTCTTTCCAACAGTCCTTTTCTTTGCCTTCTTTTACTGCATTGGCTAGGACCTCTAGTACAGTCCTAACTAGATATGGTGAGAGCAGTCATTTTTGTCTTATTCCAAACCTTAAGTGGAAAATTTTCAACATTTCACCATTTAATATGTTTGCAGGGTTGTTTTTTTTTTAAAAGATCCATTTAGCAAATCAAGGGAGTTCTATTTTATTTCCATATTGTTAAAAGTTCATCATAAATGGATGTTTAATTTTATTAACATTTTTTGCATCTATAACATAATCATGATTTTTCTGTTACTATATAAATTACATTGACTGGTTTTGGGATGTTAAACCTATTTTACATTCCCAGTAAAACTATGTCTTGTATTACTTTTATATACTGTTAGACTTGGTTTGCTAATATTTTGTTTCAGATTTTTATATCTGTATTATTAAATGAGGGCTGGTGTTATTTTCCATTTTTGTAATGTCCTTGTCAAATTTTGTTACAAAGGTTATGCTAACCTCAGAAAATGAATTAGGGAATGTTCTCTTTTTCTAATCTCTAGCAGAGTTTCTGTCACAATGGTGTTATGCATTTTTTAAATGTTTGGTAGAATTTGTTGGTTAGCAACTATGAGTTAAATTTCTTTAGTAGTTATGGATTTCTTATCAGATTTTGTATCTAAGTTCTAACAAAAGAAAAACAGCCATAATCTTAGATCATATGTGAAGATCTCATTCTGAAACTCAATCTCCTTCTAGAAAACCATTTCCTATTCTTGTGAATTTGAAGAGTACTACTGCCAGAAACACATTTTCAAGCACTGCATAAACAATAATCATAAACAAATTTTACCAAAGTGACAGCTAATAGTCATTGAAACAGTAGTGTATAATTTAGTTCTGTGTTCAACTTGGCATTTCTAGACATCATAGAATATCTAAATAATGGTTATCTGAAGGACCTTTAAATAAAAAAGGTGACCTTTAAATAAAAAAGGTGAGGCTATATGCTTTCTTTACATACTTTACATACTTTACATACTTTTATCATAAAAGTATGTAAACTTTTTTTATTTTGCCCCTTTACATACTTTTATCATAAAACCTTACAGTAGTAAATGTCTGTTTCCTCTATTAAACTGTATGTTCCTATAGGGCAGGTTCCATTTCTCCTTCCTTTGTACACACACCACTTACTTCCATATTAGGAGAGTGATGGCTGGTACAGAATGCACAAAACAGGAAATAAGAGCATCTCCTATTTTAAGATGTTAAAAGGAATGATGAAAGAGCTGCAGATAAAGAATCACGTGTTCAGATGCTGAAGAACCAGGCACACAAAGGAAAAATATCAGGGGTAAAAAAATGCTATACATTTCTAGGTCCAGCCAAAGGTGTTTGAGTACAGAATGGCCCTCCCACCGGAAGTTCATGTCCCCCACGCCCCCCACCCCCAAACATTGTCAGGAATGCGGCTCATCCACTGCCAAGTTTACTGAACTCTAGCCTCACTCCAACCGGACCACTACTGCTAAGTTAGTGGCCTCTACTCAGTGTTCAAATACAACAATCATTTGCCTTGCAAATGTGTATTTACTCGACTCTGCTGCCTATTAGTGAACTCCTTCAAGCCCAGGACTAGGTCTCACTGATTCTGGGAAGGGGTAGAGCACAAGACAAGTGCTCAATAAGTCGTTTAATTCAGATATGTAAATACTTCACAGCTGGTAAATTCCTAAGGAAAACTGTGTACACACACGAAAAAGAGTGGGTAGTACAAGAGAGTAACAAAGAGATAAAAAATAATTGCAAAATTTCCTAAAGCTAGTTTGTTCTTTCCTTAAACATTTTTCTTCTTTCACCAAAATTAGATAAAAGGACCTAAATAAGGTGAAGTTTACACAGGGGAAAAGTCTAGCACTATTCAAGCTAAATTGTATCTTAAAGTATAACGAAGACTTCATCTAAGGCAAAACAATAAATATAAATCCTTTCACCTGTAAGTATTACCAACCTGTCAGAGTAGAAAGTTGATCAACAGCCATGAGCGGTAGCTGCTAAAGACCAGAAAGGGGCAGCAAAGGCACATCAAAACCCAAGTTAACTTAAGTCCACAGGCTTGGAATGCCAAGAGTGATCAGACTGCTGTTTCTACAGTGCAAGTGAGATGACAAGGACTGAACCATGGCAGTGAGAATGACAGGGAAGAAAGCTCTTAGGGCAGTGAAGGTGGGAATGAGGCTAAAGCAGACCCAGGGTGAAAAGTCATCGATGAGCTAAGAAGGAGTTCAAGAGGGAAGATGAATAAACGTAAGTGTTAAAATAAGTCATCAGATACAGAAAAACAGAGGTCTAAACTAAGTTAAAAGTGCTGAGGCAAGAATGCAAATAAAACATGTACTGCACGAAACAGCGTATTTAATCTGTGGAATAAGGTATGTCTGTAGGAGGTGACTCTGAGGCATGGCCTGACTTTACACGAGCCCTTTGAAGCAGAGATTTTTAAAGGCTCCTTATCCACTCTGGCCTGAAAACAGTGATCTTGAGTGCAATTCTAGCTGCTTTTACTCTCATTCTAAATTGCTCCAGCAGCTTAGTCTCCAGGCAAATCATATTCTGATGCTGTAATTTATCACATTCAACTGGACAGCCACAGGCAGAGTTGAACAAATACAGATCTAGGTTATTCATTTAAACAAAGCCTATTATTTTGTTTTAGAGATGAACCAATTTTTATTTTTAAAATCATGTATTATATTTAGATTGCTTTCAGTGTTTTGATATTATATAAAAAGATATATTATTGTACATACATATAATTTGGATTGCATTTGAATATACTGCCATAAAGGTTAAATTTCTTTTTTTTTTTTTTTTTTTTGGCCGGTCTCACAGGGACATTTATTCACGTCAAGGAGGAGACGGGGCTGGACGAGGGCACAGGGACGTCCCACGCTGCCGGCTCCATCGGCCTGGCGCTGCGGCGGGCCGGTCAGTGGTGGCCGTGGGCAGGTGCGGGACTCGGACCTTTCAAAGCTTTACTTCTTTTATCAGCACTCCTGATCTTGTAAATGATGACGCTCATCAGCCCCATTCCTACCCAGATCTCCTGGTAGACCTGGGTATAGTAGGGCTTCATGGGGGTCCAAACATTTTTAATGAGGCTCTGAAACATCTCGGCGCCGACCCCGACCCACGGCTGCGGCCGCCCGACCCGCACGCCAACGACTCGCGAAGGTCACCGGCTGCGCAGGCGCCGCGCGGGGCCCGCCGGGAAGGCCAAGGTTAAATTTCTAATAGTGGAATTGTTGAATCAAAGGGCATGTGCCTCTTTTGTTTTATTTTTGAGAAATGTTGTTAAATTGCCACCGAAAAAGTTGTACCAGTTTTGGGCCTCCCCTGGTGACACAGCGGTTGAGCGCTGGGCTGCGAAGCCTCCAGCAGCCTCTGCAGCGCCTGTTCGATCCCCAGCCACTGGCAAGGGTCCCACATGGCGTGTCAGACCTCTCCTGCCGTGCCTACTGCTCCCCTCAGCAGTGTATTTCTTCATCAGTCTGCCTGTTCTGTTCCCTGCTCTGGTGAATTCTCTCACCCTCCCACGCTTCTGACTGTACCCAGTGCGTGTATAAATAAATAAATAAATAAATAAATCTTTAAAAAAAAAAAAAAAAAAAAGTTGTTCCAGTTTTTGCTCCAACAGTTCATGGAAGTAATTGGGGGTCAACACTAGAGGAAAAACAGCAATGTTTAACAGGCATTCCCTCAGAAAATAGGCCAACTCCACCTATAGCAGTAGCTGAAGACTAGGGTAAGAGAAGCTCTGAAAATGAAACCTGGGCCAAGGTACTCTGAGAGCAGCCATATTTCAAATCCATCTTTAAGTTCTCTTTTATAATTTCCTCCTGTTAAATGCTCAGACTTTTATTATGTTCTTATTAAATGCTAAAGTCTAGGAATTAGGCCCAAACTGGAGCCAAAGTGACACTAATAAGAATAGCGGTATTTAGGTGACCAAAAGGTTCTTGGTCAAAGGGCTAACTAGAAGTTCAATAACCAGAACAGATACCCAGGGAGTCCCATAAATGGCTGCAGAGGAAAGCCAGGTAAAACTGGTCAAATGCAATTAGGAGGAACAAGGGCCCAAATCATTAAGAAATACGCACTAAAGGAAAATATAACCTGAAAAGCCAATGAACATGGGCTATAGTTTAGTGTGTCAACAAAACATATGATGATATAAACACTGATTTAAGAAACAGCAGCACAGACAATTGGCTCCTTCACTTTAGGGAAAAAAAAAGCTGCTGAAAAAGTCCAGGGGAATGAGATGGTCTTAAGATATTTGAGATTCAGGGCCTCCCTGGTGGCACAGCGGGTTTAGTGCCACGCTGTGAAGTGCTGTGAAGCTGTCCGCAGCCTCTGCAGTATGGGTTCAATTCCCAGCCAGCCAGGGAGAAACCTACATGGCATGGCAGACCTCTCCTGCCTCGCCCACTGCTCCCCTCAGCAGTGTCTTCGGTCCGTCTGCCTGTTCTGCTCTGTCCCTGGTGAATTCTCTCACCCTCCCGCGCCTTGGACTGTACCCAGGTCTTGTATAAATAAATAAATCTTTTTTTAAAAAAAGATATGAGAATAAAAAACCACCAATAAACTATTTAAGATGGCATTAAAAGCCACATGGGTGAGTTACTCAATGATGCTGGGTCTCTCCTATGTATATTAAATATCTACATTACTTTTAAAAAGAAGAAGAGAAACATGAGAATGTTCTCTAAGCAGAATCAACCACAACATCTGTTTTTAAATCAACTTTGTGCTATTCTTGTTTCATGCATTTTAATTCCTTATATATATTTAAATACAGATTTGTCACTACTGTTGTCATTCTTGTTATTTATAGTAATATTCCTTTATTTCTTCCTACTGTTTTTATTCCTTTGTTACACAGTTAATTCCTTTTTTGGATCATGAAATGTTTTAATTTAGGGATTTTAGTTTTTAAAATATTCATGACGAAAACTAGTTATTGGCATAAGGATGCTTAACTTTTCTGTTTGAAAGTGTATAATAACAAACTTGATCATTTGCATGTACACAATAATTTTAGCTATATACTTAGAATATATAAAAGAGAACCTAAAAATCACCTAAATGCTTTTTTTTGGGGGGGGGAGGTCATGTTTTTGCTCTACCCCAATTATAACCCTATGAAAAATATATTCAGGAATATATTCACAAAATGTCTTTGTAATTCCCAACACGTGTCATGAGGAACAGACTTCTTAGGAACCTTGGTGGAGCTCATGTGACTACACAGTTGATAACTTGGCTCTAGATGGTACCCGTACCTATAGAACTCTAACATCCTGCATAGTAAAATGTGACCAGCTCACTAAAACTTTTAGAGTTCTCATGGTACCTTCCACTGATGATACAGTTTTAGGAGCCTGCCCAAGCACAGACACTGATACATGGCCCATTTCTACAAATTTTGTACTTTATCTATCTATTCTGCATTCAACAGAGCTTCCCAGATTTTATCTAAGTTAAAGAAAGAAATGTGTTATGTGAGCAGAATTTCAATTTACACCCCAAAACAGAAATGATAACCTAAAATAAAACCTTTAAAGCAGGACAATTCTTTGTAGAGCAAATAATAACATTTATGCTTCCATGGGAAGTTTATTCATTCTCCCCTTGTCCTCGCACCCCATACCCCTGGCTTGTTTCTATCACAACAGCATATTATAAATAAAAACAAAATAAACTTAGCAGGCACTAACATTTTAAAGGCCAACAAAGAAATGCCAAAATGTTTATCATTACTGATATTTCTAATCACCTCAAATATTTTGCCCCAAAATTAGGCACACAAGAACTGGAGTGTAGGCCAGAGGTGTGGGGGTGAGAGGATTCACCAGAGACTGGTGAATTCACCAGTGATTCACCAATGGCTGGTGATAGCTTCATAGTGCTGAGAATTAACTCCTTGTACCACGAGGGAGGCATTTCAAAGAAAGCTGCAACAATAGATGTGTTTCCAAAATAACTTCAAATTTTCTATATAGGAAAGCACTCATTAAAATATAAAAGCTGATGGGGGCCTCCCTGGTGGCGCAGGGGTTAAAGTCTTAGTGCTCTCAAGCTATCACCAGCCCCTGCAGCCTGAGTTGGATCCAGGCCAGGGAGGTGACCCACATGGAGCAGCAGACCTCTCATCTGGCTGGCTGCTCCCCTAAGCAGTGTATTTCAGTAGATCTGCCTGTTCTGTTCTGCCCCTCCCCCACTCTGTCTCTAGTGAATCCTCTCACCCCCCTACACCTCTGGCTTGTATCCCAGTTCTTGTGTGCATAAATAAATAAATCTTTAAAAAAAAAAAAAGTAAAAGTTGAGTAATTTTTTGCCACTATGACACAGATGAGAAATGTCCCCATACAAAGTGATGACAGGAATATCCAAAAAGAGAAAAATGTGCAAAAGGTGACATTTTATAAAGCAATTCAATAAGTGAACATAAAAGCTACAGAACCTCAGTAGTAAGCAAAGAAATACACATTTTTAAAAAAGACAAAACATCACTTACAAAGTAAATGACACTATAGAGGAGTTAATGATGTGAAAAGGGAATGAAACAAGCATTCCTCTATTGTATAGGTGAAATATAAACTGATGCACATGGATGTGTATAAAACTAGAGAGACAGACTAAGGTAGAAAAATGTTCATATCCTTTGATTCAGTTCTACTTGTGAGCTAGGTTCAAAAAAGCAGATCATTCAGAATATAATACAAAGCTATAGTAATGAAAACACTGTGATACTGGCATAAAGACAGACATATAGGTCAATGGAATACAGAGCCCCAAAATAAACCCTTATATATGTGGCCAAATGATTTCAACAATGGTGCCAAGATTACTCAGTGGGAAAGTAAGTCCTTTCAGCAACATTGCTGGAAAATTGGTTATCTATAATGCAAAACAATACAGACAGACCCTGACTTTTACATAATAAACAAAATAGTACCTCAATATGAATCAAGGCTCTAACTGTAAACACACAACTTTTAGGGGGATAATATTTGAAAAAAGCTTCATGACAGTGATTTTGGCAATCATGACACCAAACACAGACAACAAATAAATTGGGTTACTTAAAATGAAACAATATGTACCTCAAAGCATACAATCAACAGAGTATAACAGAAACCTACAGAATGGAAGAAAAGATTTGCAAAGCATGTGCCTAATAAAGGGTTAATATCCAGAATATATAAAGAACTCCGATAACCAACAGAAACAAATCCTTATTTAAAGATGGGCAAAAGACTTGAATAAACATTTCTCTGAAGAAGATATACAAACGGCCAACAAGCACATGAAAAGATGTTCAACATCACTAATCAATAAGGAAATGCAAATCAAAATTACAATAAGATACTGTTAGGATACTACCCTTTAGGATAGTTATTTAAAAAAAAAACTCCACAGGGCCTCCCCGGTGGCGCAGCGGTTGAGCGCTGGGTTGTGAAGCTGCCCGCGGCCTCTGCAGCGCCGGTTCGATCCCCGGCTGCTCCCTGGCCACCGGAGGAGGGTCCCACATGGTGCACAGGCCTCTCCTGCTGCCCGCTGCTCCCCTCAGCAATGTACTTTGGTCCTTCTGCCTTCTCTGCTCCCCGCTCTGGCTCTGGTGAATTCTCTCTCACCCTCCCGCGCTTCTGACTGTACCCAGTGCATGTATAAACCAACCAAACAAACAAATAATAAATAAATAAATAAATAAGACATGCCTCTAGAAAATTAAAAAAAAAAAAACAAAAACAAAACTCCACAAATATAAGCAAGGGTGTGGGAAAATAAAAATCTTTGTGCACTTTTAAGGGAAATGTAATATGGTACAGTCAGTAGGGTTAACAGTATATAGTGGGTCCTGAGAACATTAAAAATCGAAATGATCCAGCAATTCTACTTCTGGGTACATAGCCAAAAGAACTGAAAGTTAAGGTCTCAGAAAATGAATGCCTATGTTCCTAGCAACATTATTCAGAATAGCCAAACCATGAAAGCAACACAACTATGATGCAGGGATGAATGAATAAGCAAATTCTGATATATATATATATATATATATATATATATATATATATATATATATAATGGGTTATTCAGTCTTAAAAATGAAAAAAATTCCAATATGTTGTAACACCAGTTAATCTTAACAATGCTATGTGAAATAAGCCAATTA